GCACAGTCAAACTTTAAATGCAAATTACATCAGCACAGCGACCAATCAGAGAGCGTAAACACGTTGCGTCACAGCCGCTGCGAGCCAATCAGCTGTCACCACGATAGTAGAAAAAGATCGCAGGCGCAGCCCATCTTGTTGAACAGTTGAGAATTGCCGGCGGTCGGGCAACTAAAGAAACCATAAGGTTTCTATTGGATTCAACAAGGATACTCGATTATTTCTGATTTCTCACGCCGCCAGCAGGACATATCGACATGGTGGTGGTCGCAGCAGGGACCGGAGGGTCTCACAAAGTGCTCCTGATTTCTGGGAAGCAGACCGGCTCCTCTAACGGCTCACAATCAGGCTTCAACCGGCCCATCTCTGTCGTTTTACCGTCATCTGCCAGCCCGGCGTCGTCGGACTCAGACTCCAACTCCTCTGCGGGGCCGCCGATACGGAAAAGACAGAGGCTCACACACTTGAGTCCGGAGGAGAAAGCACTTCGCAGGTTAGTCTCACTAAAATACCTCTTATTGAACAGTATATTTTGGTTGTAACGTCATTTATAAAGCCTAACGTTACAAGCAGCCATTGTTAAAGGGGTCACAAACAGGGGCACGCCCAAAGATATTGATCCATATGATTTGACGTTTTAACCGCAGCACAAAAAACTGTCTGTGTTAAGTATTAATTAAGACGGTCGTATAAGCTGTTAAGAAGTAGGCAATTCACCCTAATGTCGTTACGATATCACCTTTGGACTTTGAACCGGCTTGTCAAAGTGCTATCTGAGTGATTTGCCTGCCCGCAGACCCGCCCGGCTCTGCCGTTACACAGCAGGATACTGATATCCTGGTATGCCTGCGTGGCAGGAACATGGCCGGTGATTGCGCAGCACTGTGATCTCAAGTCATGTCAGAGGGCTTAGTCAGTACCGTGTAAAGAATGTGTGTTAAATTCCTGTTTTTTTTCCTCTCCTTGTCTATTTTTTTCCAGGAAACTCAAGAACAGAGTCGCAGCTCAGACAGCCAGAGACAGGAAAAAGGCCAAAATGGGGGAGCTGGAACAGCAAGTCCTAGAGCTGGAGCTGGAGGTTAATATTTGATCATATTTCATCCACCTTCACCCACTTTCCTCATGTCTTCATGTCACCAGGGTGTCATTTAAAGCACGGTTTAGACACACAGCATCTTCACTCTCACTAGATATGTCTGTAATATATCCATCTCACACTAAAATAATGGCGCTAATTGCATCACATACACTACAGTTTTTTGTTTTTTTTAGTGTTGCATATGAAATCTAAGCTTTACCCCCCTCCCCCCAGTTTCATTTCAAGCTTCATGCATCACTTCCCCATTAACAGTTGCAAGTTTCAAGTACAACATCTGTTCATTTCTTGTCCTGCAGAATCAGAAACTTCACATCGAAAACAGGCTGCTTCGGGAAAAATCAACTGGCCTAATGACAGAAAATGAGGAATTGAGACAGAGACTTGGGTTGGACACCCTCGACTCAAAAGAGAAGGTAAAATTGCGATGCAATGGCTCGTAGTAATCGTGAAGCATTTCAGTGGAGTAGCCCGAATTCAGTCTCTTCATTTCATTTTCGTCACAGGTTCAGGGTTTGTTATCCACCGGGAACGACGCAGGTTTTGGGATCGGGTCTTCTGAGTCCGCAGCACTCAGGCTACGTGTGCCTCCGCAGCAGGTGCAGGCCCAGCAGTCCCAAAATCTGAAGACTTCTCAATGGATACAGATGGTCCTGACCCTACAGACAATGAGGTAGGTCTAATAAAGATGGCTCCTTTTTATACGCGCATCTTGAGATTTAAATCCTGTTTCCAGCAAAGCTCTGTAGTAACACCAGAGTCAGGTCATGGGTTTGTAGGCTAATCTCCTGTTTTCCCAATTCTCTCCCCCCCCTCTCATTAGTCTGATTTGCTCTTGGGCATTCTGGACATCCTTGACCCAGAGCTGTTCCTCAAGTCTTGTGAACAGGAGTGCCAGGAGCCGCAGGTGCTGCTGGTCGGAGGGGGGAACCCAGTACCTGCCGCCGCACCTGCGACTCTGGGGGCCCCATCAGTTAAGCTGGAGGCCCTTAATGAACTGATCCACTTTGACCACATCTACACCAAGCCCGTGGAGGAGGTGAGCAGCGGGCAGTACAACGACTCGGAGAGTGACACAGAGGAGAAGATCGACGGTGCAGCCTTCCCCGTCGTCGACGTGGTGGTGGTGGAGGAGGAGACCGTCTGCATCAAGGACGAGCCGGAGGAAGTGGTCATCCCCAGCTGTGACGGGAACAGTCAGGTGACTGACTTCTTCTCCGAAACCTCCTCCCCTGCCCTCAACGGCCTGGATAAGGAAGCCTGCCTTGCGGACACCTACAGCGACTCCGGATACGAAGGGTCCCCATCCCCTTTCAGCGACATGTCCTCTCCCCTGTGCTCAGAAAGCACCTGGGACGACATGTTCGCCAATGAACTCTTCCCCCAGCTAATCAGTGTCTGAATCAACCATCCTCCCAAATAAGTTATAATGTATATACATATAAGAGCTAACGTGTAGTGTTCAGTAACTACAGATAAGCACACAATGCTTCATAGTCACACAGAACACCACTCAATCCGCTCGTATATATAGAGGCTAAAGTTAAGCACATAATCTCCTTTTATTACAGCAGGTCTGTACCACTGGCAATGCTGCATTGACTTGTGGGAGGTGGAGTTCATGACAGCTTATTTTGGCATCATTAAATTACTGCACAGGATTTAAGATTGATCACAAATCTTTCACTCACTGTTCGAGATGACACGTGGGTGGAATCCAGTATTTCTGTAAATTTCTAGGGGGACGGGGACGCATCATTTAAATATAACCTTTTTATTTATTTGTTTATTCTGCCTGGAGTCCTTGTATGTCCACATGTAAAAACGCTTTCTTCTAATTTGTTGTCGCTCTCCATGTAGTCGTAATTACTGCATTAAAAAAACTTTTTGCATTGCATCTTGTCTCCTCGTTTCAGTCATTGCTACAGATTATGAAGAGAGAAATGGGCAGTGTTGCTGAATGTTTTATATCTTTTTTTTGGGAAGTGTTACAGTTATATTCCTCCCAAGAAAACGCACACTTAAAAATAATTGAATGGAATACATTATGCAGGTAATGGCAATGCTTCAGAGGAGTAGTTCATGTCTCTATCCCTGAACTCTGCTGCTTTTTAATAATGGAAACTTCTGAAATATCAAACTACTGACCGATCAGCTTCTTAGAAATCTCAATGACAATTTGAGGTCACTAAATGAAGCAAAATCTCCAAATGCTTGTGTAGCTTTTACTGTTAAAATCATTGTAAACCAAATATCGTTGGACTTTGAACTGATGGTTGCACAGAACTATCAATCTTAGGATGTCATGTCGACCTCTGCACAACTGAGATGAGTGTTTTGGGGTATTTTTATAGTAAACCAGCGCCAATCTTGAGTGTCAAGACTGTCCAAAAAGTCCTAGGATCAATCTGAGGGACTGCAGGATGATTAAGGAACAATAAAGCAAAAAAAAAAAAAAAACAAGACAAAAATCAGTATCTTCTGACATTTGAGAAAGAAAAATCACTTGAAGGCAGCGGCTGCATTACATTGTCCTGTCCGTCATTTTGACAAAGGGTCATAAAAATTCCATCAATGTATTATCTGTCATTTTAAGTTAATTTTTAATGGTAAGACTTTAAATAGCATTTAAAAATGACCACTTATAAATCAATCAGTCACGCCATGTTACCTTGAATTCATGACAAAAACAACAGCAAAACTACGTCAAAACAACTCTCACACAACTCATGCAGTACAACTCAGGTCTCATTTATCGAGTCATTTGCTCAGCACACATGCATTTTCGCTCAAAATAAAAATTCTTTGTGCTGGAGTCTGGCTTTGAAAGCATCACAGACACGTTTCAGTTCAGTTTTAAATAATAAGGTTTCAATGAAAATGCATGTGTTTGGTAAACTACTGAGCTCGTGACTGGATAAATGAGGCTTGGATTATACTGCACGAGCTGTGTGAGTTGGAGACGCATGTTTTGATGTAGTTATGCTGTTGTTTGTCCCCAATCAATTGACAAATCAATATGTTTGCTGTTGGAGGCATGAGACCCCCAGACGTGGTTGATATATCAGGAGTTTCAATTATGCAAATTACAGCTACATTGTTTAGTGTTTCATGTGCTCTTGGTGCCGTGTGAAGGGTCAAAGGTCAGGGTATTCTGAATATTTTCACAAAACAAGTTTATCACACTAATTTAACTGTTATGTTATCTTAAACTCCCTAATATGAGCGATCAACATCCACAACTCAATCATACAAAGCACAATATGTTCGGTTATCTGTCTGTTCCTCATCTGTGTAATAACCTCACATATGTGCAGATGCAGTGTTGATGTTCCCTATCTCTCCTGTGCCAGCACAACCTTGCTATTCTGAGAAGGAGGCCCGCTGCCTTATTACATAACACTTCTAATGTGACTGGGAGTTTCCTGGGAGTCTAACCTGAGACAGTTTAGGTCTTTACTTCCCATCAGAAATAGGTCAGTTGAAGTATTGTTGGTGTTTTGGCCTGCTGTGAAGACAATAGGCCGAGTGGGGAACACACCTTTCCCCTCGGGCCTTTATCCTCATAACAATGAGGTTTCATTCGGTCTGTTAGAGGAGACAGTTGCTCATTTTAAGTTCCCTGAGGCTGTGATTGGTATGACTCACCCATTGAACGAGAGCCCCCTGAGTCCCTGTTGTTGTATGAGCTGATTAGATCAGCTTTTCACATGCAACACTCATGTAATTGATCTTCACTCTTCAGGGCCTGGCTGCCTGTCTTCGTTAGCTTTAGCTCCTGGTCACTGATTACAAAGCTTTGTGTTTGTGATGTCATCCACTATGTTTCACAGCAGCTACTCACACACGACAGGAAATTATCTGGAAGACGCTGAGGAGGAAAAACAAAAATCAGCAACTCAGCTATTTCATAGTAATTTGACCTCCATTTTGTTCTTGTGGTGGGTTGAAGGAAACCGCAACAGCCTTTGACGTAGATACGCCCCAGCTACCCCCGAAAGAGTGTGGTGAGAAATTTACCATTTCCTGTCTCGTAGGTGCAAACCACAGCAAAGACTAAGTCAGCCGTACAGCTGTGGAGCTGAAACTGAAAAATATCTGCTGAAGCAGGTCTTTCAATTTCAGGCTGTGGATTCGGGTTTATTTAAGTACAACAGACTCATCTCTGTTTCTACTCTGTGTGTGTTTGTGTGTGTGAGACAGTCACAGGAGCTGTCTGCATTAGATATCAAAACATTGCCTAATCCCTATAGTCACTGAGACATTGCTCTTTTACTTTATCCTCTTCCAATAAATTCCACTTGAAGTGATTCCTGCTAATCCAGACTGATTGTCCAATGCTGAGATAAAGCACATTTGTATTATTACTGGAGATTTCGATGATGAATTCCCCTTCAAGCACCCGAATAATTCCCTTTCAGCTGTTTGAAACTCAGTTCAGAACTGACATCCAAATCATCAACAGTAAACTGAAGAACATTTTGGGATTTGAAGAGGCTGGATCCAAATGTCCTCCCTCGGGACTTGTGGGATGAGTCCTCACAGACTTCAGTCGTACGCACTGTGACGAGTTCACTGCCATCACGTAAAGTCTGCAAGGGCAGAGACAACAGCTGTTTTAATAGGCTACTGTAACTATTACACACACATAAGTTTCATTTTTTTCACCGACTACTGAAAAACAATTACCACATGACGTCCATAATGCAATGAATTGTGGGCAATTAAATCAGTGAAGTCTACTCAAGTCTGCACCCCAAGCGGACTCTCTGGAGGTCTGCAGAAAGTCCACTTTAGGCCCCTTGTGGACTGGAAGATTTGGACAACCCTCAGCACTCCCAGACTTACTCGGAACATGCCCAAAAGGTCGACGAGCCTGCATGTGCGGTGAAGTCTGGACATTTGGATTCAGCCAGAATCAAAATGTGAACTTTAAGGGACTCTTCCACCTAAAATCAAAATCACATCCTATTCCGTTTACATGTAGTGCTATTTAATATATCTAGATCGTTTTGGTGTTAGTTGCCGAGTGTTGGAGGTATCAGCATTGACATAACATCAGATTTGAAAAACTCAACAGCAATGTCTCCTTCCAGAAGTCATGACCCTGTTACTCAAGATAATCCACAGACCTTGTTGTGAGCAGTTTCATTAGGGAACTATTTTCTTTCTACCCAACTCATCTCCCAACCGTATCACCAAGTAGAAGAAAGCGTGCATCGACTCATGGACAGGAGGCTCCTGATCATAAACATTAATGGCATCATCCTCAACTGAGCTGTAACATTAGCTAGCTCAGAGGTGCTAGGTGAGACAGCAGTGGATGCACACTTCCTTGTGCGTGGTGCTTCAGTTTCTGGGTGTAGTTCAGTAGACAGAAAATAGTTCCTTAATGAAACTGCTCACAACAAGGTCTGTGGATTATCTTGAGTAACAGGGTCATGACTTCTGGAAAGAGACATTGCTGTTGCGTTTTTCAAATGTATTTTTTGGCACTTTGAGCACCACAAGCCGAGTGCCATCTAGTTCCATTATATTGGAGAGGCAGACATCCCTACGGCTGATATCTCCAACACTCTGCAACCCACACCAAAACAATTAGACTGATAAATAGCACTGCAGGTAAGAGGAGAAATATGCATTTTTGATTTTGAGGTGAACTGCCCCTTTAAGTCAACAACTAGTACACATAACTGACTCTGACTCTTTCATTTGTGATCTAACTGCTGACATCTTGAGAAAGAGTCACTGCCACTGCTTGCAACCTCAGATAAACTCTGTGTGACTGTGTTTCACAACTTCCGCTTCCTTTTTTTCAAACTGTTTTGTTTGGTACGGTGTATGGTGCACGGTAAAAAGCCATCTGTAAACTATTTGCTTACATGCCAGGATGCACAGTGTGTCCTGTAGCCTGCAGAATGAATAACCAATCAAAACCCAGTGCAGTCAACAGGATATCTGCTGCTAACTCATTCTGTGCACCACAGTCTGGATTTAAATAACTAATAGTTTGCCCCAAATTACAGTTATTCTTTGCGTGATTATAACCTGAAAATTCTGATTACAGGGCATGAAACATTCTAGCTTACATGAACCTTTTTCCTGCTATTGTCAGAACTGACATGTGAGATGCCTTGTGACTTAAAGACTGAATTCTATATTGATTCTTCTCGCCTAAGACCTGATAAAGACGGACTCTGGGTCAGTATGTTTCTCCAAACCAGTATAAAACCAACCTGGTTCTTGATGTCAAAGTTCATGCTTAAATTAGAACCAGATTTATCTCGCTAATATGACACTGTCGTCACCTATGCACGGATTTGGATAAACCTGACTGCGGGCCTCGAGTTACTACACTCAGCAGTATTATAAAGAGGATTGCTAAACCCACACTGGCAGCTGCCACTTCAATGTAAATGCGGGTTTTACGGTTGGAACTTTGAAGCTCTTCAGTCTGATGTGTTAACAGTGTGCTAAAAATGTACATTAAATCTGAGAGCGATGGGGTAAAGCTGCTCTGACGCTGTACAACAAGGATTCTGAGAAATAAGCAAAAAAAAAAAAAAAAACCTTCCACCTTATCAAGCAGGATTTAAAGACAAAGTGAGTTTGATGTAAAGCAAACAAGAGGTCAGGGCAGCCATGTGACAGTTTTGTCATGTGAGAGGTGATGTTAATGCTGGGTGAGGGTGAGCTGGGGTCACAAACTCTCTGCAGTCACCGAGGCTCGAGGGCTGAGCAGCTGGAGTCACCTGACCCAAATGAGGAATGTAAATCGACGACCCCCTTTCGGCTTTCTTTATTAAAAGGCTAACGAGTGGCTGATCACAAGCTTGGGAGGGGAGGGGGCATAGCTTTGGTATTTAGGCCACTTTATCTATAGCCATTTATAAACAGAGATTCTGCAATGCTGCTGTAAAGAAGATCTACCATTACGCCAGCTTTGCTTTTTTACATTGTGAAAAGGATCTTGTTTCTCTGCATCCTTATAGTACTTTAATGGCATTTACAAGAATCCACTAATCCAAATACAAGTTTGTGACCCGGCTGCCATGTTGAAACAGACGAATCAAAACCAGTGGTGGCCCTAACACATTGGTGCCCTAGACGAGCCTTCAAGCTTCTTACCAAAAGCTACATTTTACAGGATTACATTAAACACATCATGAGAAAGTTATAATTTACCTCTGCCCAACACTAATTTCACTGAATAGAGCTTGAACGCATCACAGTGTAAATGAATGCAGCCTCTGTGAACTGTTCATTACAGCCACCTGCTGCTTAGAGAGAACGATAACTAGCTGCTAACAGCTAATTATAACTAGCTCTCCTCCTGCTGATTTCATGTCCTTACTCTCCACATGCACTGCTCTCAATAGTGTAGAGGTAGTTGAGAGGGCTCCAGGGAGCTGTTGTCGTTTTGACATGGTAACAATTTCGGGGTTCACATGACATTGGAAAACTCGCTCATCTCCCCAAGCAAATGCCATTAGAAGCACTATGAAGACGAAGACCATGATTTTTCATCAGTCTAATAAACTACTGTGTGGATGTAGTGACAGTTTCAACAAAGTTATTTTTCCTAAAAATGACCAACTCTAGCTTTAACAGCATATAGACAATGCCCCCCATTTCGTGCTCTTCTGGTTTATACAGAACGGTGAGGCGGAATAACAGTGCAATATTAAACAGGCTGTATAAAAAGGGACCGATGATTCAGTTGGGGAAAAGTGTGTCATCGACCACGTCACTGCCAACAAACAACATCTGTCCATCTCTGTCGGTGGCCACGGAGGAACATGATTGACTAGCATGTCAAAAAGCAAACTGCTGCACCCAATCACCTGTTTATTCCAAGAAACAAGGCTTGTTGATCATGTTTCCCTGCTTTAAAAGGTGTGTTTCTATTCTTATCATCTGTTCATCTGGCTTGTTTTTCCGGATTGTAGTCATTCCAAATGATCACCTCAAACACAGTAAGTCATAGTGCACAAAGTAAACCGTCAATCATCAGTCCTTCTTTTGCATCATCCTGTCAGAGCTGCTCCATTCACATGCAAGAAAGAACCCAAAAGAAAAACATTGCTAACATGACAAACTTGCACCTCCTGTCTCGTCAGGATCAAGTCAACTGTGTCTTATTTGCATCACAACTTGAACATGTGTACAAACAGACATACGCGATCAATGAGGCACACATGCACACAGCATGCACTCACATGCAGACTTCACTCTTGTGCTCAGTCAAGGTGGTTTACTTTCCGGCTGTGAGAGAGAGATCGCTATCCTCAGTTACCACTGGCAACAAAGGCCGGTCAGTGGAGTGTGTTAATGCATGTCTGATCCACGGCACTGAGCCAAAGCCCAATGAGAGAACAGTAAGGCTACTTATGGGAGTCAGATGTGTCCCTGAGAGTCAAGAACATGCAGTTCTACAAGTTGTAGAACAGTTGTGGCCCTGTATTTAAAGATCCCCTCCAGATATGTGTAAGGGCATAAAAATACTAACAATAATAAGTGGTTTTGTCACGTTCTTAAAATAACATCTACTCTTTCACCCTCAAGACCTGAACTTATGAATGTGAAAATATTTTCCATTTTAAAAGTTTATCTACTATACAAAAGATGTCTCCCACTGAAATGAAAAGTCAATTCTCAGTGTGCGCTGGAGGCTTCAAGTTTCTGTTTTAAGTTGCCTTTTGGACACCAATTATGCCAGCCTAGCACCAAATGGCTTTTCAAGTGATTTTGAAGTCTGAGTTTACCTCAGTTGTAATAATTGACATAGCTATCGTGACGTCACACATTGGTTTGTGGACGCCACAAGTTCGACATTTCTGCCGTTGCCATCTTGGTTTTCTGGAGCCAGGAGTAACCATGTTTGAGGCTGGCGATGAGTGAGGGGTGGATCTAACTGGGAACCCGAGGACACTTATTGGAAGACAGCCTGTTACTCAAAGTGGTCCACCCTTAATCAAGCGTAATTTTAAGTCTTAATAAAATGTAAACGGGTAAGTTATATAAAAAATCATCCCCCGTGCAGTTGTCATGTTAATGGAGAAATTAGCTCTAGAGATCAAAACTGTTTTTCAGTCAAGACCATTTTTGTCAAAGAAAATTTTGTTTCCATTTGCAGTATTAAATTTGGTGGTATGGCTTTGTTCTGGGGCCTCTCTGCCCTTCCATGTGCCTACATGGAAGGCCCGAGGCGGAGAGAGCACCTCCATGTGGAAACAAGGAAAGCCAGAGACAGAGAGAGCAAACCTCCCTGCCCTTCCATGCCCCAGAAGCAGCAAAAAAACCCTGGTAACAGAACAGAGCAGCATCAATGACAAACAGAAATGACATTGATAAGTCAGACACAGCATGAAAAGGAGGAGCTGGGGTGAAGGTGGGTTGCAAAGTGGCTTGCAGAGGAAGCAGCAACAGTAGGCAGGCCAGAGCAGTTTAAAAAGAGAACACTAAATGAGATTTGCCAATTGGTTGCATAGAAAGGAATCATGTGATCTATCAGCTGACTCCCTTCCATCAATCAGCTGCTCCATCAGTTGATTGGACTGTTTTAGATCAGCTGATGTAGCTGGGATGTGAG